ATGCGAATGACTTCCTATGGGAAACAGGGCTTAACAGGTTATGGCCCCAGATACCATTTTTAATTCGGATCAACCGCCTTCACCTGGAGTTGAACTGGTATCTTGTGATCTGACCTGTGGAGTGTTAACCACTATACTATAGACCCACAGGTCTGGAAGTCTTTTCCTATTTATTATCAAAAAAGGAAATTTTTAGCAATTCTGTTGATTGTGAAAAAGAGTTTTTTTTTGTTAACAAGTATGTATTACAAGTATAGTCAATTGAAATAATAATAATAATTAAATTTAAGGCAAATTCTAATCAAATTATATTTTTAGAAAATTGCATAATATAGAAAATAAGAAAAATGGACATGCCAGAAATAATAAGAATACTGAATAATCGAAATAATGGATACATTAAAAAGAAACATAAAAAGGAAGCTATTTTTGATAGAATATATTCCAATTTATCACGTGACCTTCCAAATACACGCATCTTTCGCGAATTACCTCGTGAGCAAGGAAGAAGGTTCTGATTCATCGTTTTTACCCTTTACTTCACAATCATTATTATATGTCTATTTATTTGAATTTATATTATTTATATACAGTAATTATGTAATTTCGCTTTTTTTTGAAATTTATTTAAATATTTAATTAAACAGCATATACAGTGATTATTATTGCAAACAATATCGATTAAAGACATATATAAAACCTTGAATATTTATTGACTAATTGACTTTCCCATCGTTTATTTAATCTACGAACAATATACGCATAGAAATGTACTGGATTATTCATATATTTGTACACATTTTTTACAATAACATTCATCCGCTAAATTTTAATGCTGAAAATAGAAAAATTAATTTGATAGAAATACAAACATACGTACCTATTTACATATACAGTAAATTGTTATCAAAACAGGATACCAAATAACCTAATTTAGACTTTTATTATCAAAGTACCTCAGGTGATTTCATTGCCGATAAGTTGGGCGGCAGTTAACATCAACGCATTGACATATCAGTAACGGAACCTACGTAACTTAGTCCTAAAAAATACGCGTCCAACGAAGGCGCATCAAATATAAATATATTTTAAATGATTAACCTATTGCATTCGAAATGCTTGATTTATTATATTACTGTACATTGTTTAATCAACCTATAAATAACATGTTTTTTTGTTACCATTCTAAAAAAGAAATTACCAATGCTCAAGTTACATCACACAGATTTGCAAAGAATTTTTTTTTGGAATGTTAATATTTATATGTGTTGTCGAGTTTCCCAGCGTTAAATTCATAGATTAATAGAATGAATAAACTAACTTGTTTACAAACAAATCGCTAATACTAAATTTCATCGTCTGCGAGAAGATGAAAGAAACAAGTCGATAAGTACAAAATGATTTTTTTTTTTTTTTAAAAAAAAAAAAAAAGAAAAGCAAATCTGACAAACGAATATAGAAAAGAGATCATACGATATAAGCTTTTGCGTATGTTGCAAGTAATAATAATGGAGAACTTGGTGTATAAATCTGTGGTATGAATATAAATGTGTTACGTGGCATCATGTATGAGCGAATGTAAATATTTGAAGGCGTCATTATTATTAGGAAATTAGTCGTCGATCGCGCTTGTTTATTATAATATTTAATGCATGTACATACATGGCGTCTAGAAACCCGTACAGGTGGATCTCTCCATTAAATAGTACGTGGAACACGCCAATCATTTGCGTCTGTCACGTTTCTCTGATTATCTACGGATGCAGGGTCACGCTGTCAACCACCGCGATGGGAGGTCGCTTCCGGTAAAGTGGTTATGAACTCCATGTTTCCCGAAGTGCAGTAAGTGCAGTATCATCGTTTAATAGAATCTGGTGTGCATTAACATTATTATTTACATCTAGTGTAACGTACGTGGTGCAGTTTCTTAAGTACGTGAGCATGTCTTCCTTGCAATTCAAATCAAAAGAGAAAAATACATTACAGTAGCGTAGTGAAGTGTTGGAAATTAAATGATTTCGTATTTTACTATATGTGAATGCTAATATTGAACAGGAAATTTAACTTGGGCATGAATGCTAATCAAGTATAAATTTACTAGCAAGTGTGTTACACGGCGCGATAAATGATCGCTTACATAACCCCCGTGTTTGGAAGTTAATTCCAATGTTAAGTGTGACCAATCGACTTTAATTACAGTACGTACATGGTAATATATATGTATGTTTGTTTATATTTAGAAAATGTCGTTAGCATGTTGGGCGATGATGCGATTTTGCCTGCATTCATATTATCTGAATGTTAACTCACCGTTTACAATAGATTACATAAATCATAGCTATCCTCATGGTTTGCAACACTTTGTATAAATATCTTCTGATTTCATGAAAAATTCTTAAGGCTTTGTGTTTCGCTTCGCCTTTCCTCTTGTTACAATCAACAATGTCTTCTGCATCTTCTTCCCATCCATCACCTTACGTTTATGAATTAAAGGATAGAGATACACGTGGTCAGGTTGAAAATTTCTTTAATAAGCTTCCAGAAAATGCCGTTGATTATGTGCAATCTCTCTTTCCCATCGCAAAGTGGATCGGTCGTTATAATTTGTCCTGGTTTACCGGAGACATCATTGCTGGGTTGACGGTTGGAGCTGTTGTTATCCCACAAGGAATGGGTTATGCACAGACCGCAAAATTACCACCGGAATATGGCCTTTATTCTTCGTTCGTGGGGGTCACTCTCTATTTTTTATTCTCGACATCAAAAGATATTACAATCGGTCCGACTGCTGTGATGAGCTTGCTCATCGGTCAAACCCTGGCAAGCATCACAGGTGGCAGTAAAACCTTCGCCTATTCCAACCAACAACTTGCTGCTTCCCTCGCTTTCTTATCTGGTATAATTGCCCTCGGTATTGGTTTATTCCGTCTTGGAATTGTGACCAATCTCATTTCTGCTCCTGTCATCACGGGTTTCACTACCGGATCTGCCGTCACTATTGCAATCGGTCAGGTAGTACATGATCAGATAATCGAATCCTTTCTTTCTACACAACTCTCTCTTTGCTGACAGTTTTATTATTATTATTCCCCTTCTTTAAATAGGTACCAAAATTGTTGGGCATTAAGGGTATCGATACCACGCAACCTAGTTATTTGGTCGCTGTCAATACTCTTGCTCATCTGCCGGACTCCAAGAAAGATGCTTACGTGGGCTTATTTAGTTTACTCTTTTTGTACATCCTAAAATTTGGAACCGCTCACTTCAGCAAACGTCATCCAAAATTTGAAAGATTTTTCTTTTTCGTTGGAATTCTCCGTATTGGATTTGTGGTACTTATAACCACACTCATTTCCTATCTTATCAACAAGAATCTGTCAATTGATAACTTGGGACAGAGTCCAATATCAATATTGAAAAAGATCCCTAAAGGATTTGATCATCTTGGCCCACCTGTTCTCAATAAATCAATGTTGTCTTACATAGGAGGATACGTTCCCAGTGTAACTCTAATTTTAGTATTAGAGCATATCGCCATTGCTAAAAGTTTTGGCAGAGTCAATGACTACACGAGTATGTATTTGACATTCGATAGCCAGAATGAAGTCACTGCATCCAAATGAATCAAAAATTAATATCACCTTTTTTGTTCTTAGTCCAACCGAGTCAAGAACTCATTGCCATTGGTATGACCAATGTATTTGGTTCATTCTTTGGTGCATATCCATCGACCGGCTCTTTCTCACGCAGTGCCATCAAATCGAAAGCTGGTGTGAGGACTCCGTTGGCTGGTGTCTTTTCCGGTGTCCTGGTTCTCTTGGCCCTTTTTGTCTTGACCCCCGCCTTTGCTTATATACCGGATGCATGTTTAAGGTATAGTTCGTTGAAAAATCAAGTTTCTTTTGTTTCCGGTCACATAACGTTCTGATAAAATCCTTTCATAGTGCGGTTGTTATTCATGCTGTGCTTGACCTTATCTCTCCACCATCATATCTCATTAAATTATGGCATATTCAGTGTACAGTATCTACATTCAATTGAAATTTTATTTGTTTGTCCTGCGCACCATATATATCTAATATATATTGACTTAAATTATTCATGATAGTTTGGGATTTTGCTGTATTCGTTGTTGGTCTCGTTTTCACCATCTTTTTCACTGTCGAAGTAAGTGTTATCAACATGATAGATTATACATATTAAATAAAATCGTACTTCCTCTAATTCGCCTCATCCAATTTCCAGATTGGGGTTTATGCATCAGCTGGTCTATCAGCCGCTGTCTTATTTGTAAGATTGGCTCGTCCTAGGTTTAACATCCTCGGTCGTATTCCAACAAACATCCCAAATGAAGGAGAATCGCCGAAATATGCATATGTTCCACTGCGCAAAGCATTTTCACATGCCGAACGTCCCCCGGATGGTGTACTCGTCTTTAGATTCGAGGAGGGTCTTACATACCCTAATGCGAACTACATCGATGATAAAGTAGTGGAATATGCTAAGGCAAATACCCGACGAATGGCCAGGCGAGCGGAAAAATTTGGCGATCGACCGTGGAACGATGCCGGCAGCAAAGAAGAAGATGCTCGCATCGAAGAAAACGCAAAGCTACCCCAACTGAAAGCTGCCGTGTTTGATCTGACGGCAGTAAGCATGATTGACTCGACGGGTATAAATTCGTTGCTAGATATTAAAAAAGCACTGAACAAACATGCAGCAAAACGAATAGAATTTCATTTTGCAAATATCGCAACTGCTTCAATCCAGCGATCCCTCATAGAGTGTGGATTTGGAACGGAAGAAGTAGATAAATTTGAGTCTCTTCCTGGTGATTTAGAAAACGGAGAAGTCAAGAACGATGATTCCTTTTCTATACGAAGGCCCAAAAAATTTTTCCACCTGTCATTAGAAGAAGCCATATCAGCTGCCACGGATGGTGAATGGTGATTCTAATTTTATTTGTAATATTTTTCTTTTTTTCTTGATAATTTTAGAAGTTGGGGGGATTTTGTTTGATCAAAGAGAATTTTGATATATGCATAATATTGTATACTGTGTACTGTAAATTACTTATTATTTTATTCAAGTTCTATTTTTAACACCTCAAATATTATTTTGCACGAATCTTCACATTATTTCATATCTTCCGATTCCCTTTTTTTTTCTAAAAAAAAATACTGTATATGGGAAGCATATAAATTTACGAAAAACCTAGTAAATAACAAAGCATTTTCTCCAAAATAAAATTTGCATAAGGTAATTACTGTATTTAACATTCTTAATACTTTTTTGTGCATCATAATTCCCATTTATACATTGCATTAATGGTCGATTGATAATAATTACTTGAGATACTGTATGTAAAACTTGTTCGATTATTTATTTAGAAGAATCTTTTTTTACTACTTTTTTCGGTCATTATTTATGTGTAACATTCAAAAGCATCCTGTGCTTGTCAATGCTAACTACGTAATTGCGATACAGCCACAATCTCATCTATAAAAACATGCATGGCTGACAGCATTTGCATTATCTCATCAAAACGGAACTTTCGAATGCATATACACAATCGAGATTTCTTTTGACCATTTACTGCAAATTGCTATGATTATCTTTAAATCTTGGACACAACATAAAAACCTTATTTTTAATTAAGCATATTTGTTTACTGTATATAAAATATAATTTATTTTACGGTTAGATAATATAGCAAAAAAATATTAAAAGGACTAATATAAAAAATTTATGTGTAGCACAGATTAAAATCCCTTTTTTAAAAATAGATCTTAATAATATTGAAAGTTAATATAAAATTAAATAATAATAATTAATATAAATGGTTTACATTACAACAATTAAATTATATATGCAATAATAAATTGTTATTAAAAAAATTGTAAATAATATTTTAATTGAAAATATTTTTATATAATAATAATTGTTATTGCAAATAAATTTAAATAAATTTAATTATTATTGAATTAAATTATTAAAATTTAATTAAGTATTAATTATTTGAAAAATTAAAATTAAATAAAAACTCTTTTTTTACTTATTTTAATTTTATTAGAAATTTTTTTTAAAAAATTTTTCTTTTACTTTTACTTTTTTTTCTCTTGTTAGAAAATAAAATCCTATGATTTTTCTGAGTCTAAAATATATTAACACTATATGAAATTTTATAGATCAAAAGAATAGTATTTTAGAAATATATATATATTTTATATAAAAAAATATATGTCTAAAAAATATTTTTTTTGTGTAAAAAAATACAAACAGATTAAATATCTATAGTATGTATAGTAGAAGTTAAAGATCAAATAAAGAAAAAGTAGAAACATTTTTTTCTAATAAAAATATAAAAATTTATTTTATTGTTTTTTTTTTTTAGTTCTTCTTACTTCTTTTCTTTAATAGTTTTTTGAAATTTTTTTAAAACTATAATTACTTTAATTCTTATTATATTATACTATTTTATTAGTTCTAAACATATTGAAATCATTTTTTTTTTAAAGATAATATATTTTTTTAGTAATAACTTATTCTTAAATGTTTTAATTATTAAATATAATTTTTTTATCAATATAAAAAAACTTTTTCTGCTGATTCTTTTACTTTAACAACACTGGTTTTCCAATCAGCAGAGCAAGCAACAGCTATCACTTGTTTTATTTTCTTTTTCAAAACACTTTACTTGTTTATTTTTATAACTAAATATAAGAAACCTACATAAAAAATCTATAGTAAGAAAATCTCTCTAGAAAGAAAACTAACAAGAAAAAATACTCTCCAAAGACTCACAAAAGATTCAAGATTTCAGAGAAACAAGAATAAAAAAATCTTCAGTCTCTTTATTATCTCTTTGGCTTTCTACTTCTTTTTTTCAAGTATACTTTTTTTTTTCTAGTTTTAAGGAATTTTACTTATTTCAGTTTGATTCTAAATTTTTTAGTTATACTGGATTATGGTTCCGAAAATTGGAATCGAATAGAATCGAACAGAATCGCATGAGGTTCAAAACATTATTAAAAATGATGGTGGAGTATACCCCACCTATTAAATTTAATATAAACTTGAGAATCGAATACAGAATCGAAGAGAATCGTTAGGATCCTTATATTGGATCTTCTAAAAGATGATTGGTCAATACCACAGATTGACTGATTATGTCAACTATAGAAAAGTAAACAAGATATATACTCTTCACAAGTTTCCAATCACACAATACCAAACTGATAATATGATTGGTTTCTAAAAGAGTTGAATAGTTTTTAATTGAAAGAGTAGTAAAAGAGTATTGAGTAAAGCAGAAGTTATAAATAGAAGAGAAATGACTTCTTATTTTTGTTTTCTTTTTATTTTTTTATTTTTTTATTTTTTCTTGATAGCAGAAAGTAGTAACAAGATTCAGAATTCGGGTTCTATCTCAATTTAGCAACAAATTAAAGTATCAATATTTATTCTGAAAATAGTTGAAAAAAGAAGTCTTGAAATTATTTATTGGTTAAATGAAGTAATAATTCCAGAAAATATAGCTTGAGAGAAAAATTAATAATAGAAAACCAATATTATTTTTAATTAGAAGTCTTTAAATATAAAGTTTTAAGAAATACTTTCTTGGAAGTGTCCTTAAACATTCTTGGACATTGACCACTTCAATAGAAATTAAACAGTCTAGCTAACCACAGGTGATAAGAAGTAAGAATTAATAAGAAACTTGAACTTGAACTTTATGTTTACAGAAATAACCTTTTCAATAATAGTTAGAATAGATAATAGTTTTTATTTCTTTTTTTACATATTGTTTTATTTGTATACACTTGTACTGTTTTTCTTTTCCTATTTTTTTTTTCTTATTTCTTATATAGTTTCTGTAAAAAAAAACAATATAATTTGATCATAATTATAGAAGTGATCTGCAGGTATTAATCCTAGTGACATAACTGAATCTTAATCCTAATTATTGGGCTAGCAATATATTATTCCCATAAATTATATTTAAAGGTTTTGACTTTTAATAAGTGAACTAGGTTTCAAGTAAATTTATACTTTACATGTACTTTCATATGTATAATAGTTCTTTATAATTTAATAAACAATGACACTAGACTGATTACAAAAATAATAATAATAATTTTTTTATCTATATAATTTCAAAAATTATAATTGGTTTTTTTTAAAAAAGATTAATAAAATATAATTATATTATATTAGTTATAAGATTTCCAATATAAAAAGAATCAGGATTAATTAAATACTTATCTGTTATATAATACTTTAAGTTATATTTAAATAAATAAATAGAACTGTTTATCTGTTTTAATTTACTTTTAATTTTATATTATCAATTATTACTATTTTATTTTATATTAATATAATTCAAATTAATAGTTTATTATAGATAAAAGTTAAGACTATAAAGTTAAAAGAAAAATTTTTTTATTTATAAAATAAAATTTTATCTTTTTTACAAATAAAAAAAACTTAATATAAATTATAATATAGATTTATTTTTTAAATATTAGTTAATATTATAATAAAAAAATGGATTATAAGAGTTAATTTAATTAAACTATTTATATTATAATAGTAATTTTTTAAATTAAATAAAGTCATATATATACAGTCGGGGACAAAAAAACCACCTTTTTTTTCAATTAATATTTTTAATTATAGTTTAATAAATAATTATTTAAATTTTATGAAATTTTACAAAAACATTCTTTAGAATATAAGAAAAAAAAGATATAAAT